CTTAAAGAGAAAAGAAGCTATACTTACCTCTTGGACACCGCATATACCTACGAAAGGATTCCCTGTGCCGTGTCGTCGTCGTTATAGAGTAAATTAAGAAGGTATTACTCTGTAACACTATTTAACCTTGGTACATCTTGACAAAATATAGCTCTACTTTTCTTTATCTACTACAAAATTATAAAGAATATATATAAGCATATATAAAAGTAAATATACAACAAAATCTTTCTTATCCCTCCATGCTACTTATATCTCCTTTGATATCTGCTTTTTTCTATCTAATAGATAAACAATATAAAAGTTTTCTAAATAATTTCATTTAGTATAATACTATATCTCCCTTTCTAACCCACAGCCTAGAGGTTTTTCAATTAATTTATCTAAAAATAGGATAGATAATTTTCTAACCCTAACTTCTACTCCCTTCTTGAATGTAAAAATTTGTATTATTGTACCTAATTATACAATCTGAAACAAAGAAATAGAGAAAAAACCTCTATCTCATAAAAAAAAAAATTAAAAAATAAAATAATAGTAATCATTACTGCCTTTTTTAGAGATAGAGTGCAGTTTGTAATATTATAAATGATAAGTCAAGTTTTAGTTTTAATTAGATTTCTAAGGTTCTAAACATTTTAGTTAGTATCTCTGACATGAATTAGCTAGTAGATTTTTGAAATATACCACCTCAGTAATCACCACCGGTTATAGATAATAACATTCTATTTAAAAATAATACATTTTTTAAACAGTTTTTTTAATAATCAAATATTTTGCACGGGTCTGGTTTGATAACCCGTGCTTTTTTTCATTTACTTATTGGCACGGGATTGTTACGTCAGACACCGTGCAATAAGATAGTTATTGTATGGGTATATTGAATACCCAGTTATATACACGAGTTCATATTTAAATCCCGTGTGTAACTGGGTTATTCACTACAACCCATACAATAACTATAAAGTATTAATCCACAGGTTCATTATAGTTTGGGTTCGAATTATCAAATTCAAATATTCCAGTAATTTTAATATCCAAATAAATCAAAAAATAATAAAACAGATAAATCTTAATCGAATGATTTCAATGATCAGTCAACTTTAACTAAGTTTAAATTTAGGTTAAGTCCGGTCTAAGGTTAGGATTAGCATATTAGTAATGAAAATCACATTTTTTATTAATATATATTCTAAATAGGTTTTGACAGATTTTGTCGCATTTTTTTTTACTCACTTTTTTGCTTTGCAGGTCTACCTGCCTTAAACGAATCCATATATGCACAATATAATTAGAATAATGATTCGATAAATGAAAAAAAAAGACAAACCTTATTTGGGGAAAATAAATTCCGAATTATTCCTAATGTTACTATGTTACACTAATGGTAATAGAATGTTTGATATATTGAGTATTTTCTATAACAAGGGCTGATTGAATTACGCCCATCTTTAAACTTTATGTAAACTTTATTTTTTGTAATTAATGGCAATTCATATAAAGATCTTTGACCAATAGAAAATAAAATTAATCTGCATTTGATAATCAGTTTAATACCGGGCGTGAGACGATATATCAGATTATTCGCTGCCATGAAGATTTAGTTCTCGATTATTATCTAGGGTATAACACATATTAATATATAATTTTATATCCAAATAATCCAAATAAACCAGATGATCCAGAGTTAGTACGTACATACATACATATGGGAGTTTTGAATAGGGCACCATAAATTTTGCCTAATTTGAAAAAAAAAACAACAAAAATGTAGAGTTACATACATACTTCATTTAAACGTTCAAACAAATTAATGTAACACCATTCATAAGCATCATGTGAAGAATTAAGACTTGCATCTTCATGAGACTTCAAAGTCAAGTTATATAGTAATTATATTACTTGCATATTGAGAGTCTATTTATTTACGTATGATCATGATGTCATAAATTTATGAATCCCTGGTCGCAGTATTTGTAATATATCTATTATATGAATATCGTGGTAAAAAAAGTACATAAATAATGTAATCTTTGTGATAAAACTTGTCAATTAACATAGTTTAAAAAATGAATTATACAAACAATCGAATCTATATGATATCAGAATGTCGTATTAAAGCAATAATACGGTTGAGAAATTTTTCCAAACTTCAAGGCGCTCAATACTTTAAAGCACTTTGTGATATAGTCATTAACGATACACTATTAGAAACACGCGAGAAGATTTATTTAATAGGTGACTTATCATTAATACGTGACACACAAAATATTATTAATCACAATGAAGAAGAAAGACGGAATTGCGAATATTGCAATAAACAAGCTATTGCCGCTCTTTATTGTGAGTTTTGTATTCGTAATTATTTAAAAAAGCAATTTAACGAATGGAAGACAGAAGATAAAGAAATTGATGAGCTAATCCGAGAATGTCAATTAAATACTGTATCACCATCGCATGTAATCGAATATATTCCTTATGAAAAATTTAAAAATGTTAAATTTGTAACTTCCACTGAAAATTCCAATATATATACCGCAACGTGGGAAAATGGGCCATTTATAGACTGGGATAGTGAACGACAGGAATTAACGAGAAGTGGTCAAGGTATCTACATTCTTAAAGTTTTAGAAAATTCAGGAAAATACCGTAGTGAGGTAATGTGGGATTCTTAGTAAAAATAAATTTTTATTATACAAAAAAACTTGCTAAGCAACCTTTTTTTTTGTTTGTATTTAGATTAAAGCAAGTTTTACTAATGAACAATTATTTTCTCAAACTTGTGTAAGGTGCTATGGATTGACTAGAGACCCATGTACACAGAAATTTATACTTGTTTTTCATAAAATGGATAGCGATTTAAGAAATTTTCTTAAAAAAAAGAAAGAATTACACTGGAAAATTAAATTTAAATTGGTTCGAAGCATTTCTAATAGTATAAGAAAGTTACACAATCAAAACTCTGTACACAAGGATTTACATCCAGGAAACATCTTAATTGATGAGAATAAATTTCATTGTGTACTTAGCGATTTTGGGTTGTATGAATCATTAAAAAATTCCGAATCTTTTAATCCATCAAAAATTATTTATGGAGTTCCATCTTATATTGCTCCTGAAGTATTGAATAACAAACCATACACAAAAAAATCGGAAGTGTATAGCTTAGGAATGATTATGTGGGAAATCTCATCAGGGATACCGCCATTTTGTAATCAAGACATAGCTTCAATTCCCTTAGCAATAATGAATGGAATGAGACCGAGTATCATTGACGGGACTCCACGTGATTATGCAGATTTGATGACTAAATGCTGGGATACGGATCCAGAAAAAAGACCTGAAGCTGTGACAATTATGAACAAAATGGAGGATATGCTCAGAGATATTTATGCAAATGATACCATTCAAGAATTAAAGTTTATTCCAATTAATTATAAAAAGTCTACAAATTGGTGGATTTTAAAGGGTGCAACTTCAAAAAAGAGACCTGATACTGGAATTTTTATTATAAAGAAAATGGATGAATTATTTAAAGTTGCTTATGCAAATAATGGTATTATTCGAGAATTAAATATAAACCATAAAGGATGGAAAATTTCAAAGAAATATAAAAATATAAAACCAAATCCTTCAACAAAATCCAGAGAAATTCCCGCGAAAGAATTATCTTTACTCTCGAAAGAAAATAAACTGAACACTTTTAAAAATCAATCATATCTTATACCTTCAGAGAATAATGAAAGTATTTCTAATGATACATCTTTAACCATGGAAAAAGACAAAAGGATCACTACAATAGGTGCAAGTTCACCACCTTCCTTTTTTGAGCCCGACGTTATTAGTATGCACTCTTCTATTATGCAAATTGAGCAACTACAAATAGAACCTGATTCAGCAAATTTAACTACTACGATATATTGTATGTGATGAAGTTTTTCTGGGATGGATAATTTTTAAAATGTATTTTAGGTAGCCATTGTATAAAAAATAAATATCTTAATAATATTTATTGAAATATAAGTGCCCCTATTCTACAATCAATTACAGTCAAACTTCTCTAAGTGCAACTTGTAGGGACCATACTTTGATAACATGCATTTAAGGAATTGATAGAAAACATTACGTTTATAGAGATCGAGTATATATTTTGGCCAGAATTTAATATTGCATTTTGAGAGAAATTTTGAATGTATAGAGTGTGCACTTAAAAAGGTTTCACTGTAATTAAAAATACATTTATTAATGGGCGATATACTGCAAAAGATCCTATTAATATAAATCAAATCAACTAATCGTATTAAAAGTAAATTTTCTAACAAATTTTGCGGGTAGACCAATTCATTATTACAATTCAAAGCTTATGTAATCACACTATTGCATAAACCTGGAAAAGACACTTCAGGGGTATAAATCATGTGCGACAAACGTATGCTACAAATGAGGCCTTCTGATTAGTACTTATTGAATGTCAATGATGAGTAACTAGGGATGTTAATCGGTCCTTTAGTATTAGGATCGAATCCTAACCGGTCCGGTCCGATTAGTAGGGATTCGATCCTTAAATAATATAAGACTAAGATCCTGAATTGAATTATTATAACAATACAATATTAATTTGATCGGATGACTTATTCAATGGAATCAATTCAAAATATGATACTTCTATAAAATGTATTATGTTTTCATGTGACTTAAGGACCGAATCCAGGATTGTCTTTTTAGATCCTAGGATCGGACCGGACTGGATTCGCAATTAACATCCCTATGAGTAACATTTGCACGACTACTAACTATTACAACCTTATAAATTTTTTTGTATAGTAATTTGTAATCTTATAAACGCGCTCTGTGTATTTTACTTAGATTGTTACACATAAATAATCTGCTGTTTCTGTCGTATTTGAAGTCGCTGCCTGACTGAACATAAATTAAATTCTTGGAATTAGATCTTATGTATGCATTAGATAATAATTGTGGCAGGTGAAACTTCAAGCACAACATATTAGTTTGCTTTCTGTTATTTGTGTTAATGAAAGGTGCTATCTATCTATGTTACTGAAAAAATTTTAGGGTTACAAACAAACAAATTAATGTATAATATACAAACATTTCAGGCGGAAAAATAGTTTACCTAATTTATAATGAGTTTGATTAGTCGTTCACAATGAGATTATTATCCAATTAAAATTCTATAGTCATGTGATAGTTTACAAAATTTTTTATGTTTATGTTTCAATTTAGGGTTCAAGGAAAGATTATAAAAGGAAATTTCTTTGAAAATAAGCGATTTTTTATTTTAAAAATGAACATTAATTTTGAGTTTCTACTTGTATTAAAGCATGATTTGCTATCAAACCAAATTGCCTGCAGAATAGACAGATTTTGATAATGCCTGTACGTTGTTTTTTTTTTTATGGCTAAAATGGGTTAAGGTTATCTGACGACAAACAGCAAAATTGCTCAAAAAAATTTTGTTAGAACATAAAAGCTGACTCTCATGTGTATTTTTTAATAAAAAGATTCCTTTTTTATTTTTTTTGAAATTTCCTGATCATATTACTTTAAACTTAATTGTGACATATATGCTATATAAAAAACGCATATAACAGTACGAGGATTACATTTAAATGTCTGGCATCCACCATAGACAATTGCATCTTTGTCATTGTAAGGGGTGCAAGATGTTTAAAGCTTAGAATTAGGTATGATTAATGAAATGCCTATGACCTCAAACTCAGCCGTTAATGGGATGCCAGCATATATATACAGGGAATTGACTCGACAAAAGAATCGTTGATCGATGATTAATAGAAAAAAAACTTTTTGTACCGATCAAAATTCAAGATTTTTTCTTAATCGATCAAATTTTAACCATTTAATCGATTAACTTAATCGATCATTTATTGACTCACTTTTGATCGAGCTTATTACATCGTGCTCGATCATCAAGCCTAATCGATCAATGATCGAGGCAATACGCTAGGTATATAAGTTTATTATATTGCTATCTCACAACTAGAGATAATAATTGGATAATTTTATGCTCAAATTTTAGGTGTAATATTCGGATTTAAATATGCAAGCACATTACCTTTAACCACTCACGAATTTGCTTAAAGTCAATAGAAATCAAGCAATATTTTTTATGTAAAATTGGTTTAAACTTAAATTAAAATATATTACAACAGTTATCAAACCAAACTTAATAGAATTAAACTTATTAATTTTAATGTAATAATTGCTAAGACTAAAACAATTGACCTTCTTAATGATTAATCTAGTTCCAGGCATTAACTCTATAGAGAACTTCAAAACTACATATTGTATGTACATATGCATATAACCATCTTTTTCGCTAACAAAGAAAAAACCTTCAAAGTTTAATCATACAGATATATTGCGCAGAAGTTTTTGATTGCCTTACTATATCATGAGTTATTTAACTATGAAATTCACGGACTTTATTGTTAACTTTGATGATAAAGATCCAATTTTGGTAGTATTATTTTGCATCTGTCGCGTGATTTGTAATTTTAGCAATCCCCTATTTGTTTTGCAGATAATCTGTTTTAATACTCAGCTTATTTTAAATACGCCTTGTGTTATTAATTGTAACATTAGAGAGTTACAAATGTCGTACATATTGTTAAATAAAATAATAATTATTGTCTCCATAGTTTCTGTATTTGTTGTGCAAATGATTAATATTGGAACGGAAACAATGAAGTTGTTTCATTCTTTACAATGAGTCTTCTGCCTGACCGGATTTATCAAAGAAAAAAATCATGTTTTTTTTTTTTTTTTTTAATTAGGAATTATACGAGTAAATTAAAATAGCAATATAGTTTGGCCTAAATAAAAAAAAAAACTTTGACTCCAATTTTATATATACTTTGCAGAAACTTAAATATCTTAATACGCAGTAACTGTATAGTAATGATGTAGTAATTGCTATTGAATTTAATCATAACTACATAGCTACTATGCAGTTACTGCGCATAAAGAGATTTATGTTTCTGAATAGCAGTTTGGAAAAGGAAATTTTAAGTTGGAAAGTAGTTTAGCCGATTAAGTGAGTTCATTATCGCAATGAAAAAAAAAAAGGTCGAGGCTATCTTTTTTTTTTATTAGAATTGAATTGTGTTAATCGGCTAAAATTTAATCTCCGCATTTAGTAATATGAATCATCAGCAAAATCGCTTTCAATTAATCATAGTGCTCGTGTACGACCTTGATCACTAGTCAATGCATTGAGAGATATTTGAGAGCACCCTTAAATGAGGATATTAAAGGAAATCAGCCTTGTATTACAGTATTACCTATGGATATAAAGGGATGTAAATTGACCAGACCACAAACTAATTACATAAATGGCTTATTCCATATTAGACTTCAATCTGCAAATAATATACGATATGGAATCTACTGGCATTGAATAATTTTACTTTTATTTACAGTAATTAATTTATTTTTTTACTATATATAAAAATTATTTATATTATTGATTCATTAATGATTAATTTTGAGTCATTTTTATCTCAAATCCAATCATTAAGTTGAGTTTTAATTCTATAACAAATCAAGTTAATTTAGAATTCCGTTAAAACATGTACCCAATTAAAATCTAGACAAAATTCTATTTCAACATAAACATGCAATAGTCATATGAAAGTTTAGGATTAAAAAACCATTGAGTGTGTCATAATGCAGCAATGCTTTTATATGTACTACTATTTAAATATTTCCTTTTCGTCTTTTACAAAAATGTACTTCCTAGTGTATAGTAAACAAATAGAATTTCATTGACAAGTAAAAAGTCTTATATTTTTTACTAATTTACATCTAAAACTGTACCAATAAATAAACAACATATAATACAAATATTTTCATTGTTCATTGTACGTCTGAAGTACATCACGGGTTATAGATTTTGTGCATCTGTTCGAAAATTGATTAAACCAACTTTGTGCTCGAGAATATGTTAATACTTCCCTCGAAATTTTAATATTTCCAAAGAAAGTTAAACTTATTCGGATTACTGTTGAAGTATGAAGTACCGCAGTATATATGTCCTGTACTAATATGTTCTATAAATGCTTAAAATATTGAGCGTTCATGATTTATAAAAAAAAAATCTAAACAATCACTAATTACAAAGATCAATTAACATAATAATAGCAGGTAAAAATAGAAAAAATGAAAGGCATATAATCTCCGGGTTGATGTAATATCTGATTGTAGACAATGAGCTATAGTTATAGTTGCCGTCCAAATAGTTATAACTATTGGCCCAAATTGGTTATATCTGAAATTTGTCCCAAATCCCAATTTATAAAGTAAGTTTGGGACTAATTCCATGGTTTAACTAGTACTATATAATGGTTAATACCCTAGAAAGTCCCAAAATAGTTAGGTTTGGCCGGCAACTATAGCTATAGTTATAAAAGAACCCCAGGTATATAGTTAGTAAAGTAATACAGTACGGTAGTACAAATGTGTACTGACATACGTATGTACTAAATTTTTGATTTCTGATAATCTTGCTAAATTAATTTCGTTTGGCATAAGGACATGACGAGTCATTTATGTGACAAATAAGTATTAATTAATATACTAATTAGTTAACGCCTATTCATTACATACATGATTCGCCACACCTCCTATGTCAAATGGAAGGGATACTTAATCAACCTTTTTTTGATGTTTATGGTTAAGGCATATACAGTAGTATCTTTTTTTCGCGTTAAGATTAGGTGGGGTTTAGAAAAAAAATTGCTTTGCTTTCGAAAGAATTTTTCTTTTACAACCATACGTATTATCATGTCCGTGCAGTTAGGGATGGGTTTGGCTAGCTACGGTCGGCTATCGGCTAGCCGCTGCTATAGCCGATCAGTATCTTAATAAATTACGAATTAATTATAAATAGAGGAACCAATCATTCATAATTCTGGTCAAATTTGCTTATAATTTGGCCAGACCTAGAACAATCAATTTTAAATCTGGTCAAATGATCTGCATTTTGACTTTTACGTGTCGATCTTTGTCAAAACAATCTAATTCTGGTCAAATTTGCAGATCATTTAGATCATTTGACTGGAAATTTTGCATTTTCCAGGCCTAATGATCTGCAAATTTGACCAGAACTAGATTGTTTTGACAAAGATTAGCAAACTAAGATCCTAGCATCACCAATTTAAAAAATTTTGCTAATTATGTAATAGGCTGATTAACTACTAAAATTAGGTTATTTTTTTGACTTTCTTTTTTAATGTATTTTTTTTTTAATAATTTTTTTTGTATTATTTTTTGGGGCTTTTTTTTTTAGTTGCTTTTTTTAAAACTTCTTTATCACTTTTTAGTGGTTTTTTGGTACTCTTTCATTATTCTTTTGAAGTTTTTTGTTATTTTTTGTTGTTTTTTTAGTGGTTTCTTGGTTGTTTTTTTAATAGTTCATTCTTTTTAATACTTTTTTTTTAAATAAATTTCTTGTTGTTTATTGATAGAATTCTTTTATTTATGAGACTAAAAGAAGAGTTAAAAAGAAGATAATTATAATGAGCTGGTAAACCAGATCAATAATCTGGAGAAGTTTTATCTTAAACTAAACTAGTAAGACTAAAATTATCTTTGGCAGGTTGCATATAGATACTCAAATTTTTAGATATTTTATAGTAGCTAGATAAGTTATATTTTAGCAATAGGTAGTTTATACTACAATATAATATTATTTGATTATAAATAAAGCATTAGAATTATAATATAATTAGCAAAAAAAAAAAAAATACTTTTTTTTATATTTTTTATTTTAGTTCAATGTTTTCTGTTACTTTTCTTTTTTTCACTTTTTCAATACTTTTTTCACCACTTTTTCATTGTTTTTTTAGTGATTTTTTATCATTTTTTTTATCATTCTTTTGTGACTCTTTATTATTCTTTTAATAGTCTCTTCATTATTTTTTTGGTAATGCTTTCTTTATATTTTTTTGATTCTTTTAACTGAGAAGGTAGTATACTCACAAAAGTTGTTCCCTTATGTAATTTTTACTAAGAATTCAATATTGTAGTTTGGGGTTAGGTTAGGTTAGGATTTGGAAAAGAGTTTCTATCAGTAAAATTCTACAAGGAGTATTTTAATTAGGCTGCAGAGAATGGTTTCTTAATTTAAATTTTAAATTATTTCTAATTTTTTTTGTAAAAAAAATAGCTATTATTAATTTTAATAAAGAATTTAATTTTTATTAAAAAAATTGGGGTTTTTTCTTTTTTAAAAAAAATATCTTATTAATAATTTTGCAGTGTTAGCATTAAGAAAAATTTTGATTAGCAGCACGTGATTAGCGAATTTTTTTGATTGAGAATGCTAGGGGCTAATGCAAACTCAAAATTGCAGATTATTTGGCCAGGTTTAGAACAAACCAATTTAATCTAGTCAAATGATCTTCAATTTTTGACTAGAATTATGGATAATAGATTCTTCTATCAAATCACAGCCGATGTGCTATCTCATTGAATTAAGTATTAAATATTATTATTATTAGCCAGGATATTAAAAATCTGGCATCAGCTACAATTTTAGCCAGCTGGCTAAGCCGCTAAGCCGCTCAGCCGGCTAGCCATAGCCATTCCTATCTCTACGTACAGTACTACTTTACTATATACTCAATCCTTCACACATCTGTAATACTATTATGAATAATTAATATTTAACCAATAATAGCCTCAAAAAATATAATCAAAAATATTGGGGAAAATGACAATATTGTAATAATCAAGTCATTGAATTAAATAAACTAATTCAAAATTCTATGGAAACAGAGTGTGACAAATGGGATATTTGTCACCCAATAACAAATAGATTATTTGTCACACAGTTTCTATACTTTTTGCGCAAGAAATAGAATAGATTCCATATGAAATTTTACAATTGTTCAAAAGAAACCGAACGTAGTTGCTCTACAGTATAATATGCAGTAAACTACAACATGGAAACATAGACTATATACAGTCAACTCTCTCTAAGTGCAAGTCAATGGGCTAGCAAAATATCTTGTATTTAGAGAGAACTTGCACTTAAAGAAAACTAAATTAATAATATATAATTAATTCTCTCTAAATGCAAGTTTATAAGTTAAAAAAAATATCTTGCACTTAGAAAAAAAACTTTAATTAAATAAGCAATTTAATTGGTTAATAAAATATCTTGCAATTAGAGAAAATAATTTTATATGTGCTGGCTAAAAAAATCTTGCACTTAGAGAATAAAGAACTTGCATTTATGTATAAGTCTCAAAACGGGACCAGACTATTTAATTGCATTTAGAGAGAAGTTGCACTTAGAGAGGTTGCACTTAGAGAGAGTTGACTGTACAATGTTGATTTCGAACGGCAAGAATTAAAAGAGAAGAAGGTATTTATAAATTAGAATGTTCTGGAAAATAGGTTTAAAAAGTTATATAACCAAACGAATAAGAACATTAAAGCATTGAAAACTTCAAATTAACCAAAATAGTAATAAAAATTTCTATGATTTCAATTGTTATAAATGACAATAAATCTTCTATATAATAATAATATCAGTAATGTGCCTTATTCTTTTATGAAACAATAAATTACGCAAAAAATATAATTTAGACCATAATACATATATCACTACAGTTATGCTCTAGGTATTATCCGAGCTATGGTCGTTATTGAGTTTGGCTTTTTCATATAATTTTGCAAAATCTCCACTTTTCTCGCACATTTTTCTGAATTTAGAATTAGGTGTCTCTAAAAGAATATCTGGGCGATCAAATTCAGCAATATTTCCATTTTCTATTCAATTGTAAAATGAAATTAGCTCACAATATTATTGAAAAAAATATTTAAATAAGAGCCGATACCTAATACTAAGATTTTATCAAACTCAATAATAGTTTCTAAGTGGTGTGTAATGTATAACAATGTTGAATCTTCAAATTCTTCACGTATCATCTTTTCAATTTTACATCTTGCATCGTAATCTATGCTAGCAGTTGCTTCATCCATGAGTACTACTTTAGATTTATTAACAAGTGCTCTAGCAAGCGCAATTAACTGCCTTTGGCCTTGACTTAAATTCATACCACCTTTATCAATAACTGTATCGGGAATAAATAATTTAAAATTTTCGTCGGTATTTCTTTGACTAATATAAGTACTTGGCTCATTTATTTGGACCCTTTTAAGTGCATCGAAAAATTCGAGTTCATCATGTTTCTTGAGATAACCTTCTAGATTATCCCTAATAAAATAAAAGTAAAAAATATTACTATAATGTAGGAGACTTAAAGATTTTAATTTCTCCTTTTGATCTTATTTCTAATTAATCATATTGGTAATCACGCATGCAGACAAATGGAGGGCTATGTCATAAAGTCTTCTCTATTTTTCTATCTAATCATTAGACATCATACAATATAGAATCATTAACTGCACTTCGGTTAATATGACAGATAATTTATGAAATTGTTAAATCACAATAATATTCCCATTCATTTTATGAATATATATAACTATACAGTTATTAGTATTGCTAACAATATATTATACAAACATAACAAATTTTAGATGTAATTTAATGTCGCAGCTGAAACTGGAAATTTTAATTATTTTAATATGAAATTTTCAAAAATTTTTGGGCCTTTTTGTTAGGGGTATTTTTTAGGGTTAAGTTAGGGTTCAGGGGTAGTTTTAATAATAAAAGAGTATAAATGGATTTTGATAGGGTTAATATATCCCTAATTTCCAGCTTCAGCCGCGACATTTAATATCGTTTGCAAGAGCGCTACAACATCAAAAAGCGTATGGAATATATATATATATTTAACGAAAGAAAAAGAATACAACATAGAATAGATATTAGTCTTACCTCAAAGAATCACTGAATAATATTGGATTTTGTGGTATTATAGTAAGTCTGTTTCTTAAATCGAACAAATTAACCGTTGAAATATCAACCCCATCGATAATTATTTGGCCAGATGTTGATTTTAGAAGTCTCATGAAAGATTCAAGTAGTGTAGATTTTCCAGATCCTAATAATAAAGTTAAATTAATATGACACTTTTTTTGCTTTATAAAATTTTTCTTTAAGCATAAGTATAATAAAATTACCAGTTCTACCAATGATTCCAATCTTCTGTCTTGGATATACGTGAAATGAAATGCCTTTTAATACAGGAGGATCATTAGATGAATACCTTGCCTCGATATTAATAACCTCAATCTCGCCATTTGCAGGCCATTCTTCCGGAAGTAAACCAGGATTTTCGCTTATTTTCTGCTCTTCTTCTAGAATTAAATAGTCATGAACTCTTTCAACTAGAGAAATTGAAATAGATACGAATTAAAATATAAACAGCAAATTGCACAAAGACACGTTCAAAGTAAAATAGTTGGCTAACTTCGATATTTGGGTTCAGACACAATGTTTCTTTTAAATAATCATCAGTATTTGGTTAATTAAATTGTAATTATCCAGCATTGTAATTAATTTGATTAATTTTGTGGATGACTGATAAGGAGAGGTAGCATAAAATGTCGCGAAACATGTGACCGCTTATCTTCTCCGACTCTACCTACAATGTGTAACCGATAATTTTTTTATTCTGGTATCTAACTAGAGTAAAAAATTATTGGCTACAAACGATCATATAGTAGGTAGAGTCGGAAAAGATAAGTGGTCACATGTTATGCGACATTTTTTCTCAATGACTATACTACCTGACGTTAACCAACTATTAATTTTAATGTCTAATAGATCGAAATGTTAAATTCACCAGCATTCATATTCATTTCCATAACTGTATACGCAATAATAGTATCAATAACATTTCTACTAAAGCCCACAGTATTTACAAGGATTAAACCGGCTAATCCTGAACTCGTATCTGCTGAAAGGTCATTAATAATAATAGCTCCAATAGCAAGACCAAACAAGCCACCAGCTACGCTGGCATGAGTATGCAGCCATTGATTACATGCCCAATTCAACATCCATGGTCGATTATTATCATCTATAAGACTCCACATTTTTTTCCTCAACCTCTCTTCGGCCCCAAATGCGCGAATTGTAGATATACCTGTAATAGTCTTTCAAATGAAAAAGAAATAAGCAACGGCAACAATTTGAAACATTCATTCTATTATTGAGGTATTAAGATATTACATCGTCAAATGCTGTGTAAATTGGTGATCTACTAACGGATTCCAGACGTTTTAAGTCTCGAGAAGTGTAAATATATAATGCGCCAATTATAATGTACAATGTAGCAATGAAAATGCAAGCCATTAAAAATTTAAATTCAATATTAATACCAATTGCAGCAAAAATCACTAAAGCCGCAGCAGACATGCATGAATAGATAAAAGTCATGACATTAAGACATAAGATTTGATCAATTATCTCCAGATCTTTAGAAAATCGATTTATGATCCTTCCTATAAAAATAATCATCTTTAGTTAGCAATTATGCTAAGTTAATGCGTAGATTGTGTCCAGAGCCCAACGTATTACATGACAAAGTTTTTATTACACGAAAGTTCAAATATAGATCATCGGGAAAATTAAATGTGCAAATTTGCAAAATCTGTATTATTGCAGATTTTGCAGAATTTTTACAAAAAATCTGCAAAATTATATATAATTTGAAGTTTTATACAGAAATAGCATTTAATTTCTGCAGTTATAGCTACCAGGTTTGAAGTTTTGCACAGATTTTCATTTGATTTAATTTTTTGCAAATCTGTACAGAACTGCACTAAAAAAAATTTCCCGATGACAGACACGCGTTCTGGCGGACATAACTTATGTACTACTGATTGAAAATATAATATCGTCCGCTACGCTCCAGACAATGAATCTAAAATACAATAATTCAGTTAAAAGATTTAAATAAATAATTATTACCTATTGGAGTCGTATCATAAAATCTAATTGTTGTAGATAAAATCTTATTCAGCATAGCAGTATGCAATTCCTTGGATGCTGTTAAAGAGCCATGGAATATACAATATGTTCTACATGTTGCTAGCAAAATGGTAAATAATCCAGCAGATGTATAGACCCATAGATAATAATCAACATTGTCAAATCGATAAGACATCGAATGATGGTTTAAACTAGAATTATTTGACGAAGTCTCTGTCGAAATAATATTTCCTACGATAAAACTTAAGTCATCGGCCAATTTAGAGGAAGCACCCAAATAAGAGCAAATTTCACATGTTGGTTCATAGAGGTCATAAGAATCTGCCCATTGTTTAATCCAAAAATCTGAAAAATTATTGAAAGCTAGTTATAAACTTTGTTGTTGTGTGCATCATCTAGTGTTCGTCTAAACAAAATGTGAAGCTATTTCTCTTTGGCGAAATATTTCAGATTTTGAGTTTGCAACACTATCGTCACAACTGACAAAATTGCAGAACAGATTCGCTAACCTTGTACTGTTTGCATGTACCGCGTTGCAATAAATATAAGAGCTACTAATAACCAAATCAACAAACCAGAAGTTAATATATAAGTTTTGTAAACACTTAATTTGACCATTCCTTCAGCTTTCGTTTCTTCTTTGATTAATTTAATATCATTTTCGATATTTGATGATTCTATATCAATAGAATTCGCAGAATTACTCTCAAAGTCGATTTCTAAAGATTCATGGCCTAATAGTTCATTAATTGGATAATCTATTGTTTCTATTTTTTCTATTTTGCCATCTTTCATAAAAACCGCCATAGCTGCACCATAGCACAAGTCTTTATTATGTGTCACGAGAATTCTTGTCCTATTTTTCATCAAGTCGCTCGTTAAGCATTGCTCAAATATATACTTTGTAATGTGTAAATCGACAGCTTCATATGGAATAATTAATACAAAATATTAGAATGTATAAAATACATAGAGTGACATATTATAAATTTTACCGGAGAGAAAATCATCTAAAATCAGGACTTTATGCTGGGAATAAATAGCTCGAGCCAAAGCGATGCCTATAATTAAAAGTTGCATTTGTTTCGTTACTACGAATATAACAATAAATTGTGTATAATTAACACTTACGTTGCTTTTGACCACTACTAAGCGCAATTCCATTTTCACCGATTTCTTTGTCGCCAAATTTTAAAACCTCTTCTTCAAGAGCACACATTCGTAAAACTTTAGAAAACCTTCCAACCTCATATTCAAGACCAAACAAGATATTTTCTCTAATTGTCCCATTCTGAAGCCACACTAAATTTCACAAAATATATAATATAATGTAAGCTTCCAATAGATTTTAAATTAACGGCGATAACTTCATTGACAATATTCTAACATATGCCTTGAAAATCACGGTTGGGACATAGTAGTCATATGTTACATAACGTGACTTTCAAATCCCCATATGATTGTCACGCAAATATTGTCGGCGAAGTTAAGACTAATGTTTTACACTAATATGGCGATGCAATTAATAATTGTGTTTCACTGACTGCATTAAATTTTTTGCAATATCCCTTCATTTGTAAATCTTCACGTGATATTATTCCTTTCAAAGCAGGATGTACTACAAACGAAAGGAAATACGTAATGTTTATAATAAAATACTCAAGAAACCAAAAAAATCCGATTAGTGAACTTAATCTAATACGTATACGTATATTTCCAAAAATAACATTAAATAATTGGCAATGACAGAGAAAACGATACGTTATAAAAGTATGCACTAATTTTGAGCCTGAAAAATGGTAACATGTTCATTTATAAACATGCACTCTGGGGTTTCCTTGAGCAAATTATTAATTTCTAGATATATATTATTGTAGGATTTGAAATTACGTAATGTGAACTAGTGTAAGTTTAACACATCCGGAGCCTATAATAATTATTACTTGTAAAAAATGCGAGTGTATGTGCATGTTACATTAAATTTCAAGTACATACGTACGTACGTAGCTGGTAGAGATGCGCTAAGGCTCACATTGGTCACCAGACCAATTGATGCTTTAACGCATCTTTAAATATAGGCACGTGTGTAGACATTTCTAAATTACGTTTTTTGATGCGTTAACACTATTAATTCATCAAAAATGTAACTTGTATTATCTAAAGCCCTCTGCTGCATTCCGGATATTTTAAAAAAATTGTTTGTCAATTGCTAATCACCAGTTTGGGGATCTTAAGCTAAAGTTTCATTTTCGAATATACGTATTCAAAGAATCGAAATTACCTGTTTGTGCAGCGTAAGCAACTTCACCTATCTTAGGAGAGAACAAATTGCCATCGATGCATTTAATTTCTCCTAACAACGCTTTTAACAACCCAGTTTTTCCACATCCCGTAGGACCATAAATAAGTGATAACTTCCCATAACGAAAACAGACATTCAAATTCGTCCAAATGAATTTATTTAAGCCATTAGTCATATGACTATCATTGTTCGACCATTCTAAAGTGGCATTCTCAAATCTAATATCATTGCCATAATCAAAATTTATACGGTTGCTTTCAAAAACTTTGCGGTCACTTTCAAATTCTCTCAAAAACTTTTTAATTCGTGAAATTGACACGCGAGCTACATGATTAATAAAATATTTAATCATTTGTAAAGTTTAGAATACAATCTACCTTTATTTAAAAGACATACCTTGAATGATGCTGACAAGAATTGATGGCATCTCATTAAGAATACGGCGCAAATTTTTAAACAAGATAAGTGCAGTAAACGCGACACTCGAAGTCATTGTCTATTTAAGCAAAGAAAATTTTGATTAAAACTCTATTAAATTGATACATCAAAACTTTTCCAGAAATATGAATTCAAACTAACATTTCCTAGAATCTTGGTGTGCCAAAAAAACGATAATAGCATCATCAGAAACGTTAGAATTGTCCATGATGTCCTCATGCAAATTCTTTTAATCATATAATTATTAAGTTTCTTTAATTCTTCATCACGAGCATCCATAATTTTGCAGCGAAAATAATCTTCCATAACATAAAGTTTGACAACCCGAATAGCTTGCAGCAACTGTTGATAAATAGCGTAAATTACGTAAATTAATTGAAAATTCTATTGTTAATTATACTTTAACTTACTTCGCCTAATAATCCCACGCGCTTGTCTGTTGCAGCCATGAGATCTTTATGAATAATTTGAAATGTCTAAATTATAATTAAATTTGAATTATCACAATTTAATATTATAACAATAATTTGAAATTATCAAAGGTAATAATGAGATATTTTTATTAATGCTTACTTGAACAATTAGGATGATGAATAGGCACATTATAAGGAAAATAAACAAGCTTATAATGATTGATACATCAAGTAGGGCGTATAAGTAGTAAAGAGAAATTGATATTTGTATTGGATAACAATAGACTAAAAAAAAAACAGTAGGTTGGTTAATTAGTATGTACTGTAATTCAGTACTGTGGTGCAAATCACCTAAAGACATCCAAAATTGTAACACAAAACAAAATGCGTAGCTTTGTGGTCCTGATAAGATCTCCAAAGTTACGCTATTTGTCGAGAAGATACAACTCAAAGAAAAGTCTAAGGGAAGTATCATTTGTCATCTGATTTTTTTAGCAGGGGAGTGTGCCAAAATAACATGCTAATAGTCACACGTATATATGTATATATAGTCGTAATCATTTGAGGAGGGGAGAATTTTACTATTTACAAGAAATCAGCTAATAAATGACACTTCCCTAATAGAAATTTTCGAGACTTAAAGTTTGATTGGTTGGGTTCCCATCATTGATCTTTGGATCCCACAAATTTACGGGTCGTAATGCCAGGAATGCATCGGGTTAGGGTTAGGGTAGCTTTACTGGTTAGCAGGAGCTATGGAAAAACTATCAGCTGGGCATTTTTTACTTAATAACGTCTATGGTTTCATTAGTAAAATTCTTAGTGATCTTGGACAAAATCGATCGATTCTGGCCCATCCGACCAGGGTTCCGACGCATTGACCGGAATTTTGGGATCCCCCTGTATGATCGTTCGTATCAACCCGATCTCGATCCGAAGCATTCGGATTGGTTCGAGTTGACCGGGCCGATTAGAAAAATTATTCTCAAATAAAATTTTCAACCCGAGCCCGGCCCGGCCCGAAGTTTCAGGTTGGGTTCTGATTGGCTCATCACTTGACCCGACCCGTTCAGAGCTCTACCTACTACACAGCAAAACATTACGTAATACCTACTATAGAAAAAGTTCCTGGCTAGTGACGAAACTTTTTGCACATCAGAATCCATGAGATCTGTAATCATTCCCGCTTTATTTTTTTCATCATCATTTAGAAACATAGTTGTTTGATATATTCTATCAATAATGACTGCCTGCTCCAGATTAGAATTATTAACAACTAGTGTTCAACAAACCCAAAATACAAGAAATTGCTCAACATACCCTATATTTGATAGATAACTGTTGCCCAATATATGAGGCTTGTTGAAAGCATAGATCTGGTATCACTGTACCAACAAATAAGAAGAATACATATAAATAACCAATAGTTCGTGTCTCTCCGTTAATATCAGAATAACCCTGAATATACAGCAAAACTTTTTCAAGAAAATATGGTGGTGCAATTGAATAGACGAAAGTCCAAATCATTGCGAAAATGAATTGAACAAACAATCCTTTCCAAGAAGAAATACATAATGACAAGAAGATTGAATTTGGGCTGATTTTGCACATTTTAATAATATTTTCGGTTTTAAGAAAATTAGGCAGCTCAAAAACATCATTCATTGTTAGTGTAGATCGAAAACCCTTGATGATCAATGGAAAAATCCATAGAAACATAAATCGGCTACAAAGAGAAGCATCCATTTCTGGTGATAGGTTCCGGACCTAATTAGTTAAATAAGTTATATGTAATCAAAAATGGTCTTAATATATTGGAAGATATGATATGTATTACCTTATAGCCATAATTTCGTGTCTCCAAGATCGAGAAGTACATCAAAACAATTAGGAAACAGAGAATCATCAAAAATAAACAGTAACCTGTGTTGAAAACCATTCTGAATTTTAAATATGAATGGAGATTTTTTATAACATATAACATTGTGAGGAGGCATAATACGTTTAGGTGATCACGAATATGTAAAAGACTATATTGTATATTTATTTTTAGAATCAACGCTAACATAGATGCGTATGCCTATGAATCAGACTATTAGTTTAATGAAATTCGTTTTTTTTTAAACAAAAAATAACAAACAAACAAATGCTCACCCACGCCATGAGCCAACAAGCGCAATGAATCTCATGCGAATCTTGCCGTCTTATTAATGCAAGACAAACAAGGTGCAACCATATCGTAATGCTGATAATTAGGCGGATAGCATCTACTTTTCTTCCATTACTAATGTCCTTTTGTATCTTATAATTGGTCGATTCGTTTAAACTAACCCGCCTGTTAACACTTTTAACATAAGCCACTATTAGAAAAAAAACTGAGATGATCAAATATAACAATGGAATTCCGACATCTATAAGGCTAATTTTTGTATATATAAGTCATAAGATTAGAAATCCATTTCATATTAGTAAAAAAATATAGCCTGACCGGCCAATGCCATAATATATATATTTACAATTCACTATTATAATTTAGCGTTATATGCATTTCTCATAAGTAATAATACTAATTGCGCTAGACTTTTGTTCTTTGACGTTCAATCATTTGAATTGGTAACTGCCAGAGTTTTAAAATGCAATTAGATAAAGCGCATTTATAGTTTTACGTGCATACTTGTATAGGCAAAAGAACGGCGGAATTTTACGGATAAATGTTCCATTCATTACCGCCAAATAAGGGCTATTAATCAGAATTAATTTGTTCGCATTTTTTCCTTTAATCGATCATCTACGCATTATTGTCTGATAATCTCATCTAATACACATAAATTGTAAAGTTTGATCAACGATCAGCAAAAAGTATCCAAACTTGGAGCATAAGTAAAAAATATTGGGAACGGGAATACAATTTTACATATATTATCTGATCCTAATTTTATAAGTGAAAATGTATGTTCGCATCCACTCTTTAATACACTTTAGAATGCCAAATTTGAGCAAATTAACATAAAGACGTATATGACCAACTATGTATAGTGATCAAGTTCGAACATTTATCATTCGATTCTTCTTGGCGAGATGTATTAAAAATCGTTTGAATCTAACGGATTTGGTATGTCATTATCTAACCATACCTAGTTAATATACATTACCGTAATTACCGTATAGTCATTATGTACAACAATAATAGTCTCCTGCATTGTGATTAAAATGTTACACATTCTTCTCAGTTCTGCAAGTCCAACAGTGGGGAATCTACTCATTATGCATCAATCTCTCTCACGATAATTTGACATCCCTATGGTTGGTAATCAAATTTACCTTTATTTGCTTGAATTCTGCAAAGCAAATTTCATGTCATACATTCTTGCATTCATCCTGCGGAGTTAGTCGTAACAGTAATATATGTAGCATAATACATGACAATGTACATAGTACACGACAATGATTTTCATATGTATGTAATACATGATTATTGTCATACGGACTTTACCTTAATTATAGTCGCACACACATCCATTCGATATTTATCCGGACCTAATGTATATTTTAAAACTAGCTAAAACGATCCATTAATATAATTAAATCGTTATTTTTTTGTTCACTATTCATCACACGATAGGAAGTTTGAAGAATAAGAAACCCCAGCGAAATCTTCGTGGTCATCACATCATATTATTAAACGCTAGGCCCAAGTTAAGGATTTGTTAGGGTTAGGTGATAGTGTAGCTTAGAGTTGGGTAACGAAACCTTTTTTTGCCAAATCCGAAAGTTTCGGGTTTCGGATTATAATTACCGAAACCCCATCCGAAACTCCTAAACCTCATCCGAAACCCGAACCCTATCCGAAACCTCGAAACTGTTAATATTTAATATTTGTTCGTTCCAACTAATTATGATCAGGCTAATATACTGGTAGCTATTTTGTACGGGAGGTTTCGTTGATGTTACACAACTGATTTTACACACGGTGTGAAACACAAAAAAAATTATTTTACAATATATAATCGGACTTGATCAGTCAGCTCCAGCACCATTTTTTATTATAAAGAAATGATGTTGGATTATAATCGTAACATGTACTAGCTGACTGATCAAGTATTGTAAAATCTGTTTCACACCGTGTGTAAAATCAGTTGTGTGACATAAACGGTTGATATAAATGTACTTTACAGAAACTTCTAATTTAGCAACTTTAAAACTACTTTAAAGTAATAATAAAATAGCTATATAGTTACTTGGTAGTAGCAATTTTCTTTGCATTAACTATATATTAGCAATATGTCTACTACTGTTAATTTTTTTAGCTTTAAAGTTACTATATAATTATTTTATTATTACTATACATTTACTATGCATTATCAATACGCCTACTATTTAATTTTGCAAGTTTCAGTAAAGTAACCTTAAGCCACATTAGCCAGCTGATCATATTATATCAGCTGGCTTAGCTGGCTAAGCTGCCTTAGCCGTGGCTGCCCCAGCCAGCTTGTAACACTACTATTAGCAACTCATTACACCAACTTGTATACAAGTTGGATAAAGTTTGTTAGCCTATCAAAAGCTAATCTCTTCAATTCTTCTTTCTTTACTGAGAGCAAAAGAAAGTAGTAATTTTATACTAATATAAAACCACCTATTAATGAAAAAAATGAAAACTAAATTTATAAAAAAACAAGAGAAAATTTAAAAAAAAAACAAAAGAAGGAACAAGAAAGTGCAAAAAAAGAAAAACAAAGAGAAAAGCTCAAGGGCTAATAAAGAGAGTAACTACCTCTATTAAAAAGCAGATTTAATTTTTTAACATAGTTATTTTTATTATTATTATTTTTTTTTTGGTATTAAAAGGTAAGGCCTTGCTCATATCTTTATTGAGTAATTTATATAAGTAATCATAAAGAAACAAAACTGAATGAAGACTTAATTCA